CAGTTGTTGAGATGAGAAACATGTATGTGAAATTTGTCTCAAGCACATGCAGAGAATGAGGTTCATTCCATAGCTCGTCATACCCCCCTGGCCTGCAAGGGCCACCAGTGGAAATAGCTGTTGGATCTTAGGACCAGGAACATTCGTCCTCATTCTGAGTTGATTTGAACTTTGTGAAATTTTTTTAAAAAAATTTATTTATTTATTTAAAAGTCAGAGTTACACAGAGAGAGGAGAGGCAGAGAGAGTGGTCTTCCATCCGGTGGTTCACTTCCCAGTTGGCTGCAATGGCCGGAGCGGTGCCAATCTGAAGCCAAGAGCCAGGAGCTTCTTCCGACCTCCCACGTGGGTGCAGGAGCCCAAGGACTTAGACCATCTTCTACTGCTTTCCCAGGCCATAGCAGAGAGCTGGATCAGAAGTGGAGTAGCCAGGTCTCGAACCAGCGCCCATGTGGGATGCTGGCGCTTCAGGACAGGGCATTAACCCACTGGGCCATAGTGCCGACCCCCATGTGAAATTTTTTCAAAAACATTTTATTTTTTTATTTGAGAGGCAGAGTTAAAGACAGAGAGAGGGAGAGACAGAGAGAAAGGTCTTCCATCTGCTGGTTCACGCCCCAAATGGCCTCAAAGGCCAGGGCTGGGTGGATCCTAAGCTAGGAGCCAGGAGCTTCTTCCAGGTCTCCCATGCAGGTACAGGGGCCCAAACATTTGGGTTATCTTCTACTGCTCTCCCAGACCGTAGCAGAGAGCTGGGTTGGAAGAGGAGCAGCTGGGACATGAACCAGTGCCCATATGGGATGCTGGCACTGCAGGCGGAGGCTTAGCCTACTACACCACAATGCTGGCCCAATTTTGTGAATTTTATAACCACCCTGTCTTCCCTATTTGAGTGGCTGTTATCAAGTTTCTTGTTCACTTGAGCTGGTGTGAGTTCAGTAGGGTGCACCATGTTCCTCTAGGGTGGGTGTATCCTCTCCATTTGTTGTAACCTTTGTGTTTCCTTTATTGTCCCAGTAGTAATTGCTTTTGCCCTATTTTACATTATACAGCCTTGAAAGACATTCTTGAGTTCTTTCTTAAAGTTAAGAAAATGGTGAATTTTCTTTAACCTTAATTTCTAAACTATTTAAATTTTCTAGTGCCCTGTATCAGCTGTCCATCTATCTACTCATCTGTCCATATATCCATCCAATACTGATTAAGGGTCTAAGTTTGAATATTGAAAACTAAGTCTTTTTGGTGTTCACCACATGTAACATAAATATTCAGGATTTTGATCCATGATCTTTGCCCCCTACTTACTCCTTTAGGTCCAGGGTAAGGGTAAATTTCCAGATTCTCATTAACTTATTAGTTAAGGAGCATTTGGGGAGCACTAAGCCATTATAAACAGAGTTAAGAACTATATACATAGTTTGTAGTGCTTGATATCATTCTCTAATTTCTTTATTATAACTACCTTTTGGGTAGGAGTCCATAAAGTAGATAATATTGCATCCTCATTTTTCTAGGTGGTTTTTGGCTAATTTACCAGTCTAAGGTCACATAATTTAGTACGTAATACAGTCTGGGTATTTTGAGGTCAAACACAATACTCTTTTCTCTATATACTCTGATTTCTTGGAACTCACAAGGATTTAAAAATGACAGAAAGCCCCTTATGAGTACTTTTGAAGGTGAAAAATAAAATTCTGGTCTAGCTGACTTTTTAAGAAAAGCCATGGATTAGATGCCATAGGCACAATATTTCTGACACTTCTACTTTCTTCCATTAAAACATACTACAGGATTGGAGCAGTAGGGCTTCTCAGTCCCATCTATTTTGTAGATTTTGAAGCCTGAGATTAGTTTTGGTAATACTGTCCCCACCTTCAGTACACACATTTTGCTGTGAAAAGTGGTTATTTGACCTCTGACACAGAAATTGACTGTGAGTTGAGGATGAATCAGAGCAAGACCTAAAAACTTGCGTAGTCAACACATCACTGGGGGGCAGCTGAAGGGAATGTGAGCAGGCAGACTGGTCCTGCTGGATTTCCTCAGCCTGGCGTGTGTTTGTGTGCAGGCTGAATGTACCTCTTCCAGTGCATTAGTGAATTCCCCATATTGTTCTGTGATAAATGTAAGGTCACTGATTTGATTCAACTTGTAACATAGATTCATTCGCAGTGAAATAGGTATCCTGTTAAGGAAGATCCCATGATAGTGGCCCTGACCACAGCACACTCCTTATGGTTTACCAAGTGTTAAATGATAGTGGAAATGATGGCTAACATCTATTGAGAACTGATTATGTGGCAGCTTTGAGGCAAAATGTCTAACATAGATTATCTCATTTAATGCTCTTAGGAAGTATTATTATCTCTACTTTTGAAGGGAATAGACTGATATTGAGAGTTTGCCCCAGATCACTCCATAAGTAAAGATTTGACTTTCAAAGCTAGAATTGACCTATGAGGTATGACTCCAGGCCCAGACTCCTAACACTGAGGTTGGTATATAGCTTTTTGAAGGCAAAATTAAATTCTTTACAGCTCTTGAAAAAAAAAAAAAACACAAAGTATTGGTAATTCTTGAATTGCTAGGCCATACGTTAACAAGGATGTGGGCATTAACTTGTAATAAGCCAAGTCAGTCCTTGTTGACACATTATGACCTTAGCATAGAAAAAGTTGGTTGAAAATGGAATTAAGGACTAGTGCTTAAAATCTGGATAAGATGCCTGCATCCCACTTCAGAGCTCTTGAGTTTTGTTCTGGCTCCAATTCCAGTTCCCAACTTCTCCTAGTACAGTGGTGTGGCTCAGGTAGTCGGGTCCCTGCCATCCAATGGAGATATGGATTGCATTCCCAGTTCCTGGCGTTGGCCCTGGCCCATCCCTGGCCATTGTGGGCTTTTGATAAATGAACCAGTGGAGCCCTGCCTGTCTGTCTGCCCTGTGCGTGTGTGTGTGTGTGTGTGTGTGTGTCTGTTTCTCTCAGAAAAAGAGACATGTTCTCTGTCTCTCCTCTCTCTCCATAACGCTGACCTTACAAATAAATAAGTAAATCTTTAAAAAGAGATGTTTATTTTGATGCAAGAAAAATTTAAAATCTCATGTATAGTTTTTTCATAATACACATTTTCCATGACTTTTTGAAGATACCTAGTCTATAGATTTCAAAATAATTTATACCAAAATGAACTTATCTTTTAATTTTACTTTCCATACACTTTTTGAAATACTACTGTAACTGCTAATTGCAAGAGAACAAAGGTAGAACTCTTTGTGAGTCCACATTTTGGATCCATTCCACAGCCAGGTTCATGGCTAATTTTTTCCCCCACCAACATTAGAAAAACATTATAGAAAGCCCAATTGATTTAGTTTTCTTTTGTGTCTTATAAATAATGCTCCATAACTGTCACCTTCGTCTCCATATTGTTTTTCTGCTCAGAGACTAGAAGAATATAGATAGAGAAAAATCGTAGTTCTGGTAGATAGAATATGTAATTGTTTTTAAGTATAAAAAATGCATTATCAGCCTCCCTTGTGCAGGTGGAAGGACATGCAGCCTGCAGGCCTCCTTTGCCAGCAAGAAACCAGCCTTGCAAATTATTGGCAGCTGGCACAGTAATGAGTCCATTTCAATATAAATGGGCTGTTGCTTATTAATTTGTGCCAGTTCCTAAGCAATTCAGGAACTGCCTTGAAAATTTGGAAATTTGCAGAGAGCAGTTTAAGGTAGATGCTTAGGAAAAGGGAAGGAGCAGGGGATAGTCATGGGGGAATTATGAAAAGGGCACATATTATGGGGCTAATAATGAGGTGTTGCAGAGAACTTGTGTTCCCTTCCTGCAAGCATGAGTCACTAACTTCATGGTTAAATAACACATTTTCCTAGATAAAGAATTGTAACTCTGGCTATTGTTCTGTTCTATAATGATGTATATATTTGTTTACTTGCAGCCTCCCTGTGTGTTTTTTTTTTTTCTCCCCATGAAATGGGCCATTTTTTCTATGTCTGTGCTCAAAGTATTTTGCATCTTAGTCTCCCACTTGGCTGAAACCACCAGCTATGAGTGGTGGGCAATCCAGGGAGGCAAGGTCAGCAGGCCAATGAGAGGATGCTGCTGTCCAAAGAAATTTTGCAGCCCTTTTGCAATCTTACCTCCTAAGGCAGGCTTCAGAAACAAAAAGAAGAGAAAATGGGCACTTTTGTTTCTGGAGCTGTCCTTATCAGATTATGTCCTACGTTAAACTACAGTTTGGATATTTTACCTAAATTCTTCCCTGGACATATTCTTTATGACTCTTCTGTGAATTTAAAGTCTGCCATTGGAAGAAAACATATATACAACCACATAGTCTGTTTATGAGAGGACTTCAAAAAGTTTGGGAAAAGTGAAAATTTTCAGATGGAAAATCAAAAGATCAGCTTATTTTGGTGTGGACTTTGTTTTTAGTCCCATGCATAGATTTTTCATAATATGCATTCCCATAGATTTCAAAAGATTTTACACCAAAATAAAATTATCTTTTATTTCCATTTCCTACAGACTTTTTAAAGTACTCTTATATTTAGTTCTATTGTCTTAGCATTTCTTCAACTCCCAGTATAAATATAGCTCTACTTTGAAAATAGCAGGCTCCTTTGATTCATTTTTCTGTTTGTTGAGACTCTTCTGATGATTAAGAAGGGACAATGGAAATCATTCCATAGTAACATGTTTTTGTTATCCATTGTCTTTATCTGCAGAGATAGATAAAAATGGTAACTTAGTTTGGAGGGCTGTTTATCACCATGAAAGTAAATTTTCTGATATGTATTTACCTAGCTGATTAAGCCTATCATTTGATATGTAGAGCTAAATGTAGATCCTGATTTGGTGTGTGTAACTTCATACACAGTTGGTATCGAAGAAGTGGTGAAAATGAAATTGATGGGAAATTCTCTTTCTTCTGGCTGATCATTTCCTTTCTGTTTTTGCGTCCTCTTCCACCCTCTCCTCTCCAGGTTTTCAGCGCATTATCCCAGATGAGACTGTGATGGCCATCCCGGGGAGCAGGTGCTGACACACTCCCCAGCCCTCGCCACAGACACCTGCCGCCTTCCCATCTTAATATCTAAATGCCACAGTGCTCCTGGGGCAAGTTGGGCTGGGGACCACTGTTGCCTTCTAAGGTAGGTTTCTCTGTATTTGAGCCTGTGAACGTTTGCATGAATTCATAGAAATGCTTCCAAGGTGGAAGGATAGGTACATTTCATACAGTTGAATTTCTTGTGATGTATGGAGCTCGTGGGAAAAAGAATTTGGGATCTCTTCCTTGGATTAGGGTTGTACCCAACTGACAATTCAAAAAGCATTAGTATTTAAAAAAGAGAGAGAGACAGAAAGCAAGTGGTGGTGAAATCTTTTCTTCTCCTGTGAATTGCCCTCAGGATCTTTTAAATTTATCCCTGAGCCTCACCTTCTTTGTAATGGATTATGTTTGAAAAAGGACTTCAAAATCAAACTTCAAAACAATGATCTATTTTATTTCTGCTTTGGATCATCTTTAAAGAGCAAAAATAAACACAGTCAAAAATATGACAATCTTTTCTAAACCAAAGATCATCTTTTATTTGTTGTGAATTTTTCTTTGTTAGTGTCTTGTGTTAGGGCTGTTTGTGTGTGACTTGGCAAAACTGTTTGCAAGGGTTGTAAAGATGCAGCAAAAACTTTCAGAACTTTGTCTCAGTTTAATCTTAGCTCTTTTCCCCCCCTGTCTTCAAGCTCAGCCTCCAGTAGGGAAAAAAACAGGCTTGAAACCAAGACCTCCCACTAGAATCTAATTTTAAATTTGCAATCTGTTGTCTTGTGATTTTCACTTCAAATTTAACTTTGAAATAAATACATTTCATCCCTTTCTCTCACTGTTTCTGAGGTCTGTTTTCAAGTAGAGGAGGGAGATCGTTACATTCAAATTATGTTATTAATAATTATGACTTACATACATCATTAAATGTTTTATGGTTGGATTTCACAGTTTTCCTTAACAACAGCATAGAAACCTTGCTTTTACAGTTAACTTTCAACTTGAATACAATTTGAATTGGATTTTTTTGGGTTTACCACTGGGATCTAATGTTTTCATAGATTTGAAGTAGCCTCATTAAAAGATAAGCTCCATGATGTATGTTTCAATATAGAAGAGTTGGACTAAAAACTTCAGCATATTTAGGTTATAAATTCAAGGACAGGTAAGCTGTCATTCCTGCTATCAGGAGATTAGAATAAAATGGGTAGGGGGTATATAAAAATTAGACACAATGCCATGCCTTTGAAATGGACAGATGAGTAACTAAATCTAAGTTCAGTAGTATTTTATTTAAGTAATTTCCTCCAGTCATTTGTTTGAAATGTGGGTTTGCTGTCGTTGTAGCTGTCCGCAAGGGTGCCTACATTCTCACTCTTCAATTACTACACCCTCCCAACCCTGAAAAAAAAATTCAGTGAGTTAAAATGTTTTGTTTATTTCTTTCCTTAAAATGAATTACGTGCTTCACAGAGAAACTTTAGAAAGTACTCCCCCAAAGTATACCTGTGAAAAGGAAAATGACCCATAAGCCCTGTACCCAGAATAGTTTCTTTTAAAATTCTGACACAGAGTTAGCACATGTAGATATGGGGGAAGTATTTGCTTGTTAGTATCCTTAAAGACACCTTTAACCTGCTCAAAGTGTGCACCTCAAATGTGAGTACTTACTTAGTGAGAGTGAGGAGAGTTTTGCTGCAGAAATGATGTACCTCAGTGGTGGAATCATCTTTCTGATTATTGACACCTGAATGGGTAGGTCCTGGTCAGCTGCCCCTTGTGGGATTTTGTTCCTGAGCTGTGGGTAGGACAGCCTGCTGTCTGCCAGGATGAGTGTCAGCCAGGGGATTAGACACCCTGAACCATAAAAATATTACTACAGGTGCAGCATGCCTCAGTCAAAAATCTTAAATCCAAAACTTTTTGTTTTCCATCATGATGCTGTAAGTGGAAATTTCAATACTGTGAAACATTGTTTTATGCACAAGTTTACTATTTTTTAAATACACTTACTCTGTACTTCCTTTTCTCATGAATTTATTTTTTTGAAAGATTTATTTATTTTTATTTGAAAGAGTTACGCAAAGAGCAAAGGAGGCAGAAAGAGAGGTCTTTCGTCTGCTGGTTCACTCTCCAGTTGGCCGCAACATCTGGAGCTGTGCCAGTCTGGAGCCAGGAGCCAGGAGCTTCTTCTGGACCTCCCACATGGGTGCAGGGGCCCAAGGACTTGGGCTATCTTCCACTGTTTTCCCAGGCCACAGCAGAGAGCTGGCTTGAAAGTGGAGCATCCAGGACTCGAAATGGCACCCATAGGGGATGCCGGCACTGGAGGCACCGGCTTTACCTGCTATGCCACAGTGCAGGGCCCCTATGCACAAAATTATTAAAAATATCATCTAAACTTACCTTCAGGCTCTGTGTAGATGGTGTATACGAAACATTGGTGAATTTTGTGTTTTGATTTTGGTCCCATCCCCAAGATATCTTTTTCATTATACATATACAAATATTCCAAAATCTGAAAAGTCCCAAAATCCTAATCACTTCTGGTCCCAGGCGTTTTGGATATGCTCAACCTGTGTAACCTTCTTAGTCCTCCAGGTGTGGAGATCAATTCTAGATTTCCTTGAATCTTTTTATTCCCTCCCTCTTTATCCTCTCAACAATTTGTGGTTATGGAACTGTGTTTCATTGATCTGTCTGCTGAGGACTTTGACCATGTGTTGGCTTCCTATTAGTTGGAATATTTTCTCACACAGTACTAAGAAAATATAGCTTTGGGGTGATTGACAAATGCAGCAGACCTATTATACCTTGGATCACACAGTGTTTACCTTTATTTTGTGTATATGTTGTGTTTCTCTACTTGTATATCACCATTGAGGGTCATAGTGATTGTGCATACACATTGCAAGCAATTAATTTTTTATTTAAGAGTGTTTATTATAATTTTATTTAATAGTGTTTACCCCTACTTAGAAAACACAGTTATAATAACTGCTTTAAAAGTCTTTGTGGAATAATTCTAGATTCTGGGCCACTTTGAGGTTGGCATCTATTGATTGTCTTTGCCCTGGGGAACTGGCTAGATTTTCCAGGTTCTTTGAATGCAGCTTGGATATTTTGAATATTATGTTGTGAGACTCAAGTTCTTACTGAAGTCATCTGGAGAATATTGATTTTTCTTTGTTACTGTTTTCTCAGGCAGCCAACCCAGCTGGGACCGGATTGCAAATTCTGTCTCACCTCGGTCGGGTGGAGACTTTCACATCAGTTTAGATTTCAGAGTCTTTGCTATGCTACTTTGGGTTTCTGCCACTCATGCGTCACCCAGGGGTTAGTCTGAGGGTTGGGCTGTGGTTTACATGGTGATTCAGTTTTCAAAGCCTGTGCTGTCTGCTCTGGTTTAGTCCAGGTATGGGCATCTGAGGGGTGAGCCCGAGACTCGTGTGGATTTACTTACTACATTAGGGGAGTTCCTTGTCCAGTTCTCTTTTCTCTGAGAGCCCCACTCACTCTCTGACTTACAAGGCCCTGAGCAGAACAAGGTCTGTCTCAGTTTTTTTCTCTTTCTACTTAACTTCACTCTGGGCCATTGGTCTGTTTGTCTTGTATTTCCTGATTATTTTTTGCTAGATCATGCCCAATAAATGCTTATATTTTATGTTAGTCATTGGAATTATAGAATATTCTAGGTGATTTTCATTTAAAGGGGAGGTGGTTTCAAATGCACTTCTTTTGAAAGAATCCTCACTTTTAAGCTAAAATTTTATTTAACAAGAACTGTCCTGGTAGTTAAGGCTTGGTTCGCTTTTTTATTTTGAAACAGTGATGTATTTGCAGCAAACTGTATACAAGAAATGTGACTATCACCTAGTCTTCTCTAATGATTGCATCTTACAAAATTATAATAAATTACAAATCCAGGAATTTGACATTGTTTCAATTAAGCATTGTATAATGCTTAATAGGCTAAAAATATCCCATGAAAGCAACCCCTGAGAAGTGACCACCTGTCTGATGTTTGTATGAACCATCGTAATTAATAAATGTTTGTATATATTGATCAAATTCCTTAAGATGCCTTTTAACTCCTTCGTAACACATTTAATTTGATGGGATTTAAAGGCATTTAGAAGTTACTCGTGGTCAAGTGTAACTTATCAGTCTGAAAGAGACACGATGGTGTTGGCAAGAAAGGAAAAGTCACAGTTATTCTATTGGCCTTGATTCCGTGGCCCTGGGGTATCTTAATCTTCAGATACCATACTGCTTTCAAATGATATACTTGCCTACTGCAGCCACTTTGTCTCCTTTGCCCCCATTTATCCCCCCACCCCCCGATCATCTTAGGCCTGAACATTTTTTTTCCTGGCTACCTTATGGGAAAAGGCAGCCTCTCAACTCTTAACCCTATCCCATCCTTCCTTCTATAATACAGCTCCAAAAGTGGGAGGAGGAGGACAGGAACTGAAGTTGAGAATTAAGTGGAATGAGACAGGCAGGAACAAACGCTTAATTCTTTCCCCAGGTATTGGTGGGGGGAGGTGGTAGATGAGGAACACCAGGGAACATGAACTGAGCCCTGCAACCCACTTCACAGATCAGGGCCAACTCAGGCCCAGTAGTGCAGACTGAGAGCTGTGTACAGGGCTGCAGGTGGAAGGAATGCTGAGAGCAGCAAGCTCGTTGGAAACCCATGCTCCACATCCAGTTGACATTGTGACGTGTTCTTGTCTAAATGTTATTGCAATTGTGTGGGCTTTGATGTTTTAGATTAAGGTATATTTAGGCACTCATTCATCCCTTGGCATGTGGCAGGGATTGGTTCCCAGACCCTGTACAGATACCAAAATCCATGGATGCTCAAGTCCCTTCCATGAAATGGCATAGTATTTACTTAGAACCTGTGCATCTCTTCCCATGTACTTTAAGTCATCTCTAGTTTACCTATAATACCTAGTGCTCTATAAATGCTGTGTAAATAATTATTATGCTGTAGTATTTAGGAAATAGAAGAAAATACATGTCTTTGCATATTCAGGGCAGACATGTTTTATTTTTCCTCAGATCTTTTCAATCTGTGGTTGGTTGAATCTATGAGTG